GGCAAAAGGCTGATCTTGGTGCCTGTAATCTTCTCCCTCCATTAGGAATGGTATGAAGAACATTCCAGAAAAGAAGAATATCAGCAGCGGCAGGAAGCTTTGCCCTCCTCCTCCAATAACCCCCTGAAGCCTTTGGGCCTCAGACAACGCTCCCAGACTGTCATCTAGGCCGAGCTAATGCAAGCCATTCTTCTATGCAATAACCATATAGTATTGTTTTACAATGTATTAAAATAATGTATATAGATCTATTCAGTATATTGGTTGGGTTTAGGGTTTAAGTGTCCCTTCCCTTAGAGGCTATATGAGTTTAAATAACGGACAAAGAGAAACCTAGAGGACTTGGATTAGGACTGCTGGAACCCAAGAATCATGTTTAACCTTCTTCAGCAAGCTCAAATTACTGCAGTTGTGAGCATCTAATACAGAGTATTCAGTCATGGTACCTCTCCATCTTCCAGGCACGGGCCTACAGTTCATCATGCCAATAAGAAAAGAAACCAGAAGGAAGGGATGCTTAATCTTTTGGAAAAAATGCTGAACTCACCTGCTAATATTCAAGTCCTGCCTCTTTAAAAATAATTTTTCTTTCAGTGAATCATTAATTCTTGACTCAAAAAATCAGGGAGTAAGTTTGTATTTCTTTCCCCCTCTGGTATAAAGCCAGATGGGCTGGATGAAAAGTTTAGCACTTAAATGTAAAACTAATCCATGTCTAAATCTCTGTGCTTACTGACGCATCTTGAGGCAGTCCTGATAACAGCCCAATCGTGGGCATCTAATCCAGCCCCTTCTGTGGTGGCTGAGCACCAGAATTGCACTCTAGCAGGTCTGCAGGGCATGACTAAAAATTACAAGACTTGATGCAACTTCTGGAGATATTTTTCCTGGAGTAGTGTGCTCCTGGGGTTTAGTACTGACTATCTGGGCTGTCCAGGGCTGGGAGCAATTTGCCAGAGCCCAAAACGCTCACTGTTTTATGAGGTGGGATGGGAGGTCCACAGCACTCGCTGCGGTTCTCAGCCCTGGCTGTTGAACCGTCCGCTTTGTAATGGAAGAGCCGTGCCTGGTCCTGTGCTCTTCTTGGCCTTGGCATTGCAAATGGAGGGGTTCTTATGGCACCAAAGTTGTGACAAAACCCACATATGGGCACTTTACTCTTCCCTGGCTCACTTGGCAATAATATTCCCAAAGGTGACAAACATTGACTGACCTGGTGACAGAGACCTGGCAGGGACCGTTGCTGTTCCTACTATCTTTAGTTCACAGCAGCGTGGGAAAAATGTGTGGTATGCCTTTCTGTATCATACAGGAAGACTTCTTGGCTGAATGAAGTATCTTCTATTCCCAGCTCTGTCACCGAGTTGCTTCTTGACCCTGAGCAATTTCCTTAATCTCTGTGTGCTGTTCTGCCCACATATTGGGAATAGTCACTTCTAATAAAGCACTCTTTTTGGATCTCTGGAAAGTATTGCGCATTGGATGTAGTGGCAAAACGTATATTAGAAGCTGCCATGCCCATCACCTTAATTTTTGCTCTCTCCAAATTAAGCCATACCCAGATAAAAGACTGCCTCTTTTCTCTAGGTAATCCAAAGGGCATAAGTTTGTTTTCAAAGTTAATTCTCCTTTCACCCTCTGAATGAGTTTGTTGCCCATCAACCCACTGCCCTAAGTCAGGGCTCGGCAAACTTTAAGGAGCAGCTGGGCCAAAAATAAGGTAGCCTGCTCCAGAGGAAGGTTACCAGGCAAGATCCAGCCAATGCTGCCACCCCCTGTGCCCCAGCCCTCCCTGCTGTATGTATGCCAAGGACTGACCTTTTGCTTTCACACCTGCTACTGCAGCCTCCACCCTTTGCCCCTGTCACCAACTGCCTCAAGCAACAAATTTGGTAAAAGAAGTGGTGGCTGCAGTAAGGGGGTGAGAGAGAGAGCAAGTGGCATTGCAAAAAAACTATAACTGGACAGCAAAGGGAGATGAGCCTGTCATCTACCCCAATTATGCGGCTTTGCACAGGCCAGATGCAATCGCTTGTTGGCTGAAGACGCCTGCCCTAAACTAAAGAACATGTCGAGTGTACTGGGAAGGGGGTGATAGATTTCCACAGCGTGGCTGTAGTGGACATCTGGATGCCATTGTCTCGTTGCTACTGAGAACCATGATGGGATTTTCAACTGTGCCTTAATGACTTAAAACACAAGTCCCAGTGACTTGTGAGTGACTAAAGCACATGTCCTTTGAAAATTTCCTGCATATGTAGAGGACAGAAACATTTTGATCAGTTTAAGGGATGGGTGGTCCACACAGTAGTCGGTTCACCTGTATCCAGCGCATGCAACCTATCCTTAGTGCTGCACTGTTGAATTCTTTCATCTGGGTGCTCAATGTCTTCACGTTCTGTATGGGTAGGGTTATCAATGACTTCTGAGCCCTTCTGAGCTTAATTGTGAAGAATGGGACTGGTGTCCAAACATACCCAGACCACTAAGTAATGAACATCCTTGAGCACATCTACACATGGACTCCCAAGAGCCAGCATTTTACACTCCATTAGTCATTTTTGGATGCTGTGGAAGTATATAGCTTCCCCTTCTCAGTTTCTTGCAGGATGGAATGTGCCAGAATTGTACAGGTTAAAATCAAATCTGGCAGTGTGGGAAAATCCACTCTTCTCTTATTGATCACTGAAGGTTTTTTTTCACTCCTGGGTGGGAAAGGAGCTAACGGCTTTGAGCTGTATGAAACATGGATTTGCCTGCTTAATATGAGGCAAGTTTTTTCCATAAGAGCCTTGTAATGAAGGATTCACATTGATGCTCTGAGATCTGTTTTGAAGCTAAACTGCCACACCTGCTTTCCATGACTTTATTGCTGAAAAACTGACCTGCCCCCAAATTATGCACTGTATTATTATTTGAACTTATAAGGTTCGAAGAGGTTACTTTTTCCAAATGACTTACAGTCTGGAAGGAAAAGGAAGTTTGAGTACGGGGCATCCCCTTCTAATTGTCCTCCACGTACCCTTCGTAGACAGAGACTTACTCTTAACCAAGAAGACAATCATTTTGTAGGGACAAGGGAGGAAGTATGGTAGGATTTTGTACGATGGTGTTTTGTTTATAAATGGTTTTATGGACATGTCTGTACATGGTTCTATAGATTTTCTGGCACACTAATAAAAACATCCTCTGCTTTGTAATGACAGCAGCCTCTACTTCTCTTTCCTACATTGAAGAACTGAGTTGATCTGTGGTTGAATTATTACCAAATCTGAGTAGCAGGATTGGGGGAGACTCTTCCATACTGCATCAGATGGCAGATGCTAGCACTTGAACCCTCCACACACCTAACTCTAAAAGCTGTAGTAATTTTAACTACTGAGGCATTCAAAATCCTTAGTTTGCCCTGTAATCTTACATCTTGTGCACTCCCTTGCCAAGATTTCTCCCCCGACCTCATAGGTTCATAGATGTAGTGTCGGAAGGGACCTGAGCAGATCATCAAGTCTGACCCCCCAGCCCTGGGCAGGAATGAATACTGGGCTCATATGACCCCTGGTACGTTTAAGCTCATATGACTCCAGCTAGGTAGTTATCTATCCTTCTTTTAAAGACCCCTAAGGTAGGAGCCAGCACCACTTCCCTTGGAAGTTGGTTCCAGATCCTGGCCACCCTGACTGAAGTAGTGCCTCCTGATGTCTAGCCTGAACCTACTTCCAATCAACTTGTGGCCGTTGTTCCTTGTTACTCTGGGAGGCGCTCGGGGGAACAGGGTCTCACCCATTCCCCTCTGGTCCCCCCTAGTAAGTTTATAGATGGCCACTAGATCCCCTCCCCTTAGCCTTCTCTTGTGGAGGCTGAACAGATTCAGGTCCTGTAGCCTCTCCTCGTAGGGCCTGCCCTGCTGCCCTCTGACCACGCGAGTGGCCCTCCTCTGGACCCTCTCAGTGCTGGCCACAACCCTCCTGAAGTGCGGTGCCCAGAACTGGACGCAGTACTCCAACTGCAGCCTGACCAATGTCGCATAGAGGGGGAGGATCACCTCCTTGGACCTGCTCGTGATGCATCTGTGGATGCATGACAAGGTGCGGTTAGCCTTGCTGACCGTGTCCTCATGCTGGCAGCCCATGTTCATTTTAGAATCAGTGATGACTCCAAGATCTCTTTCTGACCTCACTCTGTCCCTTGACAACTAACATAATATTTTCAAACACAGTTAAGTCACATCTATAAAAATGACTGCCAACCCCAAATCCTGTTGACTTTGAGAGAAAACCAAGCACCTCAGTCATTTTTTAAAATGGTCTCTAGGCTCCCTAGTCAGATGCTTCCAAAAATGTCCTGAAATATCACTCTTAAATTTCTGGTTTTTGTGAGCGTTTGGGATCTGACAGTTTCTAACTGTGTAGTTAATTTTCAAGCAGTGGAAGCAGCTAGGACTCCTCCCTTTGGAAAAGTGCTTCTGTCTCGGCTCAACCATTTCTTCCCTGCTTCCTGTTTTCTCCAGCTTGCGCTGCCTGTGGTTTGACTGGTTGATTTTGCCAGGCTTCCGGCCACTGCTGTTACACAAGGAAAGATGACTAGTGTATGCAGTTGTGTGCCGATGGAGGACTGAAAAAACCTGTGACAATGGAAATTGTACTGAGCAGGGGAAGGGGGGGATCTTTTTAATGATAGACTTCTCCATATGTGGCTGCTATTTTAGGAATCTCTTACTAAATCAAAAGAGGACTGCTCTCTTCCCATTGGCACTAAAGCCAGTTTCAGTGTAATTAGTGCTGTGTGGTGTGACTTTTGGCCTGTTTCTGGCACCACCCTGTTGCATGCTCTGCTCTCGTGTATTTTAATACTGCTGCAGACTGTTCAAGTCAAATCCAGACAACAACAATGGATGAACCCTGTTTACTCAGTATTATTTGTACTGCGGTGACTGCTAGAAGACCCCGGTCATGGACCAAGAGTCCATTGTGCTATGCACTGTATTAGCACTGGACACCAGGTAAAGATCACTGACTTGTGTTTATTTGACTTTTTCATACAGCATCTGAGCCTCGGATTCCAAAGGCAAAAAGGTTGTGTGTGTAAACCAATAGAGTACCAAGTATTTCCCCATAGAGAAAATATTCACATTGACATACCGGGGATCCTGAATGGGAACTCAAGTGACTAATTCCACATTACTTTCTTTGCTGCTGTTTTAACCCAAGTTAAGAACATACCCTTTGTATAGTGCAAACATGCCCAAAGTTGCACTGAAACAGTTATTTCACAAGTTTGCATTATTGTGAAGTGAATACTGATTGCTTTGTTCTCCACAGGGGAAGCTGGAGTGAGAGGTATTAAAGGGAAGGAGGAAATAAAATCAATGGAAGGAATAAAAAACTATAAAAATGTAATTTTCCTGTGTGTAAAACTCCTTTCTGTGCAGTTGCAAAATTCCTCTGAGGACCACAGTCATTTAAAATGATCCCTGTTCAAAACCTTCCTTTTAAAACAGTCTCTTTAAAAATGGTTCCTATTCTGACCAATCCCTTTCCATAAAAAATGAATGGGAACAATTAATACTGACTGGAGTGCCAGCGAGATGGCTTGACATGTGGTTCCCAGTTCTTATTTGGTTGGGCAGCCCCTGAGCTGGAGGATGTGTGGATTGAGCAGCATTGTTTTGTTTTCCCCTGCTGAATCAGCTTCTAGTTCCCTGGGGTGGAAGGGTTGTTTCTGGCTTAACATCCAAAGCGTGCTACATCTTAGCAGTAAATTCAGATTGTCGTAATGCCTTCAGGATAGGAAAATGAATGCTAGGTTTGGTGGTGCGTTCACAAGGAAGATAGGTTACTTGGTCCGAGTCCTCCTTGGGTGGGGTGTCCTTCAGTGATTTGGAGAAGGAACTGAATGGGTCCAGCCAGGGAATGTCAAAAGTCACTTGCCAGTTGAGCATCCGGCAGTGGCAGCACAAGGACTGGACTTCCCCACCTCCAGATCTTGCTTCTTCATGACTAGCAACTCGGTCTGAGACCTGCGAGCTCTGAAACTCATCCCAAGCTCCTCATCGTAGGTGGTATCAAGTGACTGGACATCCTCTCTCAGCACTGCTTTCAGAGGGTGGTAAGCTCAATCACCTTGAATTCTGTCAGCAAAGCCACAGTGAGGAAAGCCAGGTAGTAGATGAGGAGGCAGATGCCGTATGCTTTGCCCAGGTGGAAGCACTGTGCTGGCACTGACACAAAGGAAAATACTAAGCTAAGCCCCAGCGCCCCAGCCAGGATCCACATTAGAAGGCCATCTGGCTCCAGCTGAGAAGGGAGACAAGAATTAGTGAGTTTTTATCACTTATTAAAAACAGCACTGTCACTGTCCCTGTTTATTCTGTTGGCCAGAAGCAAGTGGTACCATCTAGTGAAAGGCTGACAATACAAACTACACCACTGATCTCTGTTTCCACACCACATCCAACTGCCAGAAACAGATGCTGTGCCAGGCTCCATGAAAAGGGATTCTGCACACTGGCCACTATGATCCCTCTATCAAATGCCAGGCACTGTTTAACTTGTAGAAATAGCCTCCCCTTCCTGTTTTAGCTGTAACTTCATCTGCTTTTGTTAAATAGACTTGTGTTGACTTCACACCCTGACGGAAAACAGCCTTTCACTGTCCCCCCTCTGTCATGGTGGAAGCTTTAACATAGACACATCTCCCCATGCTATCTAACACTGCTTAGAGGAGGTAAATACAATCCAGACAAGTCTCCCTCTTCCCCACAGACAGGTGCAATTTAAGTCTTCCAGACAGCCTTACCTTTACCACAGACTGGCTGCTTGTCATCTGCAGTAAGCAGCCCAACCCCACTCCAACCAGGATATCTGCAGCCAAGTTCAGGAACAATAAACCCTGCAGGACACAGAACTAGCCACGAGGGTGAGCAGCTGGGGCAAAGCACAATTGGATTTTCACAGCTGAAAAATGGGATTACCTCATACAAGCTGTTTAAAGAGGAGCAAGAGAAAGATGCTGGTCACACCGGTCCTACTGCTGGAAGGCCTAGATGTGGCAGAGCTAGTTGCTGGCTCAGAGACAAGGCTACTGTCCAGGAACATGTTGCTCATTCATTATGACAGCAGACCTACAGCTACTGAGGATGGTGATCATTCCTCTTCTCTGAGCAGCAGTAACTGGCAGCTCTGATGTGGTATCTGAGCACCTATCGGGTTACCTGGGACAAGAGGGCTTTCCTGATCCTACAGTTGTAGCATCGTAGCTAGAGTCCCTGAATGCAATGTTCCTGTGTTCCTGCCTTACTTGGAGTTGCAAGTCAGAGCATAGGGTGAACATGATCCTTTTGCTAAATGTCCATGGAAACAGTGTAGGATAGTGCATGCAGCATAGGCACCAATTGCCCTGATTTAGGTTCTAAGCCAGACCCTAAGGCTAACTTTCTATATGGTGGGTGCATTAACGCATTATATTAATGCCCCTGAATAAACTCTGGTGCAATTTGTGCCAGAGTCAGCTACTCCCAGGCATAACGTTTTCACATGCGCCCAGGACTGCAGCAATTTGAGCTGGGGTGGTCCTGGGCTGAAGGCATATCCGGGAACTTGAAGACATGCCTGGGAGCAGCTGACCCGAAGCAGGGGGCCTGGCATCGTGGGGGGTGGGAGGGTCAGCCCTGGGTTTCAGGTGATGTCAGGCAGTAGCGGGGATGACTGGGGCATGAGGGCAGGCAGCTCCTGCACTGTAGCACCCTCATGTCCCAGCCAGCCCTGATTAGTCTACATGTGCATTTGAATGCATGCAGGTACACTGCTGTAGGACACTACTAGGGCAGTACTGTCTTACAGCAGAGTTGATTAGTTTGCTGCATCCTAAAATGAGCACATGTGTAGATTGTGACACTTTATTGTGGAGCTAATTGGTCAACTGCAGTAAAGCGCACGTGTAGATGCACCCAGTGATGAAGGGCAAGTTACAATCATGGCTACTGAAGTTTTTCCACACCATTCTGCCAAGACAACTTAATCCCATCCAGAATCCTCTTCTTTGATCTGGCCTTTGTTCTGGAAACAAAGGGCTAATACCTCCTGCAATCCTACCTACAAAAGCACCCTCTATGCACAGAGTCCTGAACAGACCCTGCTGATCTGCCCTCAGTGGGGAGATGTGAAGATCTAAATCTACAGGGGGGAAAATTGGGGCTTCATACAATCCCATCTTTTGCCACTACAGAATTAATCGGCAACAGATTCCTCAGCTTCAAGTTGAATAACACCACTTAGCTCTTCTCTACCACTTTTTATTCAGGGATTTCAAAGCAGGATAAATGGTATGGAGAGAGAGAGGCAAGAGACACAAGGGGCAAATGAATTGGCTAAAGTCAATTCAGGTCTGTGACAGGGCTAAGCATAGGAGTCAAGATTCCTGTAGCCCCACCCAGTCTATCTATATGGCTGCTCTGCCTCAGATGAAGAGGTTGTCCAATGCAGATCAAGCTTAAAAGGATACTGAAGATGATGCCCCCAAAGCAGGCAGAGAAAGCCATGCGGGGATATCCTTGCCGCGCCATGGTGAGGTCTGAGAATGTGTCTGCAAGGGACAAAGAACATGTTAGAGTAGCCCCTCTGGACAGGTAACTTCCTCCCAGCTCATGACATTTGCCCTAGGAAAGCTCAGGTGGTGAAAATGGATCATCTGTGGAAGATGAAAGGTTTTGTGGTTGGGAACTGGGCTCCTGAGAGACTTTGCAGTCCTTTCAGCTGCCAGTTTCACAGGGGGACAGCTACATGCCTAACAGGACGTCCTACAGGAGTCTCCTTGGGTTGGATGCAGTGTGCGTTGGCCAACTGTGATGGCAAACCCTGACATAGTGGCAGCCCCCAGGAGATCCTCAGCAAGACACTGGAAGCAGCTTGCTTGTCCTAGCCTCCAGGTCAACATGTTTCCATATAGCAGCGACTGTTAAGGGGGCAGAATAGCAAGAGCAGTATCCTACAGCCATCGATGTGCAATTTCTCTGCCCTGCAGCCCAGCATATACGACTGGGAATCAGCCTTGCATGCTGTTGCCAGAGGAGGAAAGGAGGGGCAGTGGTACGGAGAGAACCAAAGTGGATAAAGTTCCTACCTAAGGAAGTGAGCCCACCCCACCCTGCACCAGAGCCATGAGCCAGGCAGCACAGAGCTGTGGGTTCTCTAGCTGACAGTGGTGAGGATGTCTGAATCTCTGGCCACTGGTGGCAATAAGGGTCACAAAGCTACTGCCACTGGTGGGCCAAGCTGTTCCCTGTTCTCCAGGGAGGATCCACATTGTCGTCTTCCTCAGTATCCACTTCTAAGCATCTGGGCTCTAGCACATCTGGACTGTACACACACACACACACACGTCCCCTCACCACCGATGCTGTTCCCCCAGGCCAGCAGTGTCAGGCCCAGCACAGTGTTGCTCAGCTGGAAGATCACACCCAGGGTCCGTAGGATGTTGACTACCTCGGTGGCAGCAGCTTTAATCCACATGGCACTGGCCAAGAAACCCAGGAAGGCAAAGAGCTGTCAGGGAGAGAGCAGGGGCACCGCAGTGTAATCATGTGTCTGGGGCACCTGAGAGATCCAGCTCCCTAGCTCCATAGCTGGGGAAACTAGGGGCCCTGGCAAGGCCACCCACCCTCCCCGATGCTTCAATGTTGGCCAAGCTGGGAATCAGACTCCAGCCTCTCCCCAAAGGCAGCTGGAGGCATCAGGGCAGCCTCAGGACCCCAGCTGATGAGAACCATCTGATCATCATCAGCCTCTAGCTCTTCCCAGAGCTGGACTGGATGGGAAGGGGACAGCACTGCCACAGCACTGGACAGACGGGAGTGGTGAGTAGGGAAGGGTTGCACAGGGCTGGACTAGGTTGGAAGGGGAGGGGACTTGTCACGATAGGTTCTTACACAGTGGTACTTGGGTGGTTCCCTGTTCTTTGTAGTGAAGAAGATGACAAGGGCCAGGAAAGCCCCAGTCAGGATCACCATGCCCCAGATGGGGAAGACACCCTGGATTTTGTACAGTCCATCTGCAGGAGGGAGAGATGGGGAAGGGAGAATGTCAGTACACAGAGTGCCTCAGGTCAGGTCAAGCCTGGCATGGTACAAACCAACAGCCCTCAGCAAGCCTCAGGGATCAATCGGGGGGCTTGCTCTTTATCCAAGGTATACAGAGGGGGCTCAAGGTCTCCAATTTGGAGCTGGATCCTAACAGGCCTTGGTACAAGTTAATGTAGCTTGTGCTGGCTCCCTGGGGTAGCTCTGCTGGCAAGGACAGCCAAAGCAGAGCACATGCTGAAGTGCATGCCTTCTTCCCTCTCCCCTGGTGAGGGTTGGGACACCAGCTGAGGACTTCACCCAGAACTAAAATGCAGCCCCCCTTGAGGGGGAGGGGAAAGAGCAGCAGCCAGCAACCAGCAGTGCTACATGCCCATGAAAGACAAGGGAGAAACGTTCTTCTTGCTTTTGCTCTCTGCTGAGCAGATACGGCCACTGCTTCCCAGGGACACCCAGCGGGAGCCTGCAGAGTGCTCAGTTCCTCTTACCCATGGCACCAGAAGGCTCAGTAGGACCCTGCCACAGATATCATAGAGCTGCTCTTGGCCAGCTTCCTCCCCCACACCCTTTGGTGAGGAGGAAGTGTGTCCAGGGGCTGAGGATCAGTCCTGAAATGGCTGCACTCCTAGGGGTGGCAACTGTAATGACCTGAGCCTCAGGCACCTGTGAGGCCAGTGGAGCCGTGTAGTGCAGCTCCCACTGCAAAGCCAGTAGTAAGTTGTGCTCTGCTGGGCATTGGGTCCAGGATGCCTGGGCACAGGTAGGGGCCAGAGAAGGGCACCGGGTGAACATCAGGTTCTTACAGGCACCGGATTTCAGTGTGAGGATGCAGACCAGGGGACTGGTGATCAGATGCAGGCAGTTGAGCGGTCTCTTCCAGTTCCGGTCCTCCTTGTCAGGGTCCACGATGGGAACGGAGAGCAGCAGCACAAATTCAATCGGCATCTGGGAACAGATGGCTGTAGGGGTCAGGCTTGCAACAACGGCCACACCCATAACTCCCCGCTCCTGTACAGACACATTACGTACCCTCCCCCCTAGTTACAGATCCCTTGCCTTCCGATGCCACATTCTCACCAATGGCACTCCACATCTTTGCTCCAGGTTGTCAGACACATGATCCCCCAAAACCCCAGCCAGTGTCTTACACCAATAGCTCAGGAATGGCCTGTTCTCAAAATGGGGTAGAGTGCTTAAAACCACCTCTGAACATGCCAGGCCATTTATTCAGGTGTTGGACCATAGACACCGGGTGCTTTCAGTAGTCCAGTCTCACGGGTCTGGCCACTGTTTATGCCCTGGCCTGTTCCTGGTTGGCATGTTCTTTGCGGGGTGAGCAGTTTGAACCACTCCTGGCATCCCTGGACCTGGTCTGGATGCTAGAGAATGTGGAGAGCCAATTCTCTCCCTAGAGGACCAGGTAGACCAGGAAGGTTGTGAGCTGGTGCCTCTCACTTTGGTGTTACCAGTTCACAGCTAAGGTCAGGTCCAAAAGACCTGCCTGCAGGTCCAGTAGCTTCACAGTCATGTTCCTAGCCTGTCCTAGCAACATTCCCTTGCCACAATACTCTAGAGATGTCTGATGCACTTGGACCTGCTCCTGGCATCACAGCAAGGTCTCTAGCTTCTGTGCTCCAGGATCTCCCTGCCCTTTGAGATGCTGGCCTTGGAGCCAGGTCCTGCTCAGTGAGACAGAGAGCCCTTGGACTGTGATCATGGGTATTTCTCCACTTGGTATCAGGGTTGGCAGGTAGAGAGGAAGGAACAATTCCCATCCCCATCTAGATGGGCCTATTCTTTTTAAGACACAACCAGGTTGTTCTGCTCCCTTGGTCTCCCATGTTACTTGCCTGCCTCAGTCTGCAGCCAGGAACAAAAGCCCAGCTGCCCATGTCACAAAAAAGGAATGTCACAAGGCTGCAACCAAGCTACCTTAAAAACTTCGAAGAGTCTCCAGTAACAGGGCTTCCTCCTCCACTTTCTGTAATCCAGGGTATTCAGGGATTTGGTCAGGATGTGGAGCGTTTTCTCCTCATGTGGGAGCAGGGGTCGATATTCTTCACCTGTTTGAGAGGAGCAAAGATTGAGTTGGGCATAGGGCTGCTGTGTTTTTTTAGCTTCATGGGTCCACAGTCTACAGAGGCCCCTAGGGTCCCCCAGTGCCATCCTCAGCTGCCATTCCCTAGCCCATGCCCTGTTCTTTGTTTAACCAGTCAGGAATTGTTCCCTGACTACACCAAGTGTTCTGGGAGTCTGCTTCTCCAAGCCAATAGCTATGCAGGTAAGCATCTGTCCCTCACCTGGCTCCATCAATGGAGCCCAGTGCCGAGTCCTTCCAAAACAGAAGGAAAATTCATTCTCTATGTCCATTGTTTCTCCGAATTCCCAACAAAACTTGTGACCATGGCAGTTGAGTGAACAACTACAGTCCCAGCAGTGCTCTCCACCCACTAGACCCTGCCTCATGCCATGTAGTGAGGAAGCTGTGCACATCCTAAGCCTGATGCGCAAGGCAAGACCTACCAAAATCCGCACCGTTCATGCTTGAGGTGGAACCACCATTTTCAGACTCTGTCACAAGCTCTACAGGGAGAGAGAAGAGGGCAATGGGGCCACAGAAAGACCATGAGGGGCCAGGTCACCTGTGAGGGTAAACAGTGTCAGGCCAGTCCCATGAGGCTGGAGCTCTCCTCTGGCAGCTCTCTTACCTGGTTCTCTGGAGCTGGAAGTGGATGACCCTTCCCTTCGCTGTCTCCGGTGGATCCAGGTGCAGATCACCACAGTGCAGACATAGAATATGTACAGCCCAAGGTAGCCTATCATGGAGCAACACAGAGGTGGAGACTTCTCTGGCTTTCCCATCTCTGTCTGCTCTGCCTGCAGGCTTTCCCTGTACCCCCTCAGTTGCCTTTCCACAACCCCATTATTTACCCCTACAGCAGTCCTTTCCAAGCACTCCCACCAGGGTAAGCTATTCCCAGTGGCTCCCTCATGTCCCTGCTGCTCCTCCTTCACAGCTGGCTGACGTGACTTACCAAGAGCCCAAGGCAGGGAAATGCTCCCAAAGTAAAGTGCTAAGAAGGTCACAAAGACAGCCACCATGTAGAAGATGGCATCCCTGAGGAACGGCCGGGAGGCTGCTGTGAAGGGCTTCACCAGGGCAATCCCACCAGCCAGCACGGTGGTCACGAAGATGCCAGCACCTGTGGACAGACACCGTCAGGCAGGGTCGGTGTTTGGTTTGCAGGTGGCTCCCTCATCTGGCACCCTGGACCTCAGCTGACGGCTTCCCTGCTCCCCATCCCCCTGGACACACCTGGACAGGTTGGAGGAAGGAGAACCTGGAGCCCTGGGTAGGCCTGAGACACAGAGCAGAGGGCGAGTGCTGTGAATCTGGGTGAGGTGAGGTGGGATGGGGAGGGGGTGACCAGCCATGTCACAGCGCTCTGGCAGGACCCAGTGAGACATCCTGGTCACAGAGCACTTCCTGGTGGCCAAGGCACACAGCAGCCCCAACAATTAAGTTGAAGGAGGCCATTCTCTCTAGCAGAGATGGACACTGGGGAGAGAAAAGCCAGGGCACACTTCCCACCGCAGGCAGCTAGAGACCTGCCAGGAGTGATGAGGAGGCTGCTCTTAGAAGCCTGGCACATGAGTGGTATTCTGAACATCTCACCCCAACATGGACATAGGGGAAACGCAGCAGGGGACAAAAGCATAGGCAGGGGAGAAGGACTGACATGCCTAGCCACCCCCTTACAGACAGAGTGGAGGCAGCAAGCACATGAAGTTTCTTGGGAGAGGGACAGTGCTGTGTCTGGGAATATTTCATACCAAAGAGAGCCCCGATTGCCAGCCCCGCAGTCCTGGGGTCAGAAAAGGCCACCACAGCACTGAAGACATCTGGAGCGCCGTTCCCAAAGGCGAGGAAAGTGACGCCATGGAGAGGAATGTTAAGGAAGGGTTGGCCAGGTTGGCCTGACCTCCCTCCCAGAGGCTCCTGGGCACACATCTACAGGGCCACCGCCTGCTCCTGCCACCTTGCTGAGCAAGCCTCACGGGGACAGCCTAGCTTGTGGGAGCTAGTGGGCAGTGTCACAACCCAAAGTTGTGGTTTTTCTTGTTTGTGTGTGCTTCAGCATTGCTAAATCATGTTCCCGCCAAATTGCAGCTCTTTTGCACGGTGGAGTGTTCTGTTGTAATGGAGAACCCGCGTGCAGGAGCTTTTCCCACCAGTTCTGTAGCTTTCTTTGCATCGTGCATTTCTTTTGCATTATGGTGATGCACGATGCAAAGGAGTTCCTGCCATTTGTATTTAGATTCGTGCCACATTATTGGCCGGTTCTAAATGTAGGCATACGTGGCGGCTAGCTATTGGCTTGCTAGCCGTACAAAAGGCTTGGGTAGTTTCCGCCCAAGTTGGAGAGAGAGAAAGCACGTGGAGTTCGGGAAAGGAGCGTGAAGATCTCTAAGCGCTGCTGATCCATACGAACCCAGCTTTTTCCTTAAGAGGGCAACAGAGGTTTAATTTGTTGAACCCACGGAGCTTCAACAACTCCGGGGGACCTATTTACCGAACCCTCGGAGCCTTAACAACTCCGAGGCACATAACGTCTAGCCTCTCCCCATCGCCGATCGCAGTCCAGACGTATCCCTGTCCTAAGGACCCAACTGTCGAACCCACGGAGTCTTAACAGCTCCGGGGGACCTGGGAACCGAGTAACACTCACGGAGATACAGCTGCTCTGTGGGAACGAATTCTTGAACCCGTGGAGCCTGAATCACTCCGGGGTCAAGGAACCGAGTTTATTAGAGTCCTCCACCGAGAACTCAAGCGGAGCTGTGCCTGGAAAGCTGACCAGCCTACACCGTAACCACCTTGGGTGTAAGTAAATAATCTTTTCAATCAACCATTACACCTCCGTGACTGATTCTAGCTCGAGCGTACCAAACCGCGCCGCGGTTTTTCTCCAGCCCCGTGTACCCGGGCTGCCAGCCACAGCCTGTGTGCACAAAGACGGGCCCGGCTCGCCCCCGGCTCGCACATGGCGACCCAGATGGGATCGAGAGAGAACTCGCACAGGCAGGACTTTGATCTAGCGCAGTAATCAGGAGCCAGGGGTTCCCTTCCCTGCAGGCACTGGCCTGCTAGGTGACCTTTGAGACATCCCACTTCCCCATGACCGAGTTTTCCCATCTGTAAAATGGTCATGAGTCTGCTGCTCTCCTTCAGAAGCATTCCAGTGCATGACAAGTATGTTGAGAAGTGATCAGAGAGTGACACTGCTGTAGCAAGACAGACCCAGGGGGCTCCATTCCCTGCTCAGAGCAGCATCTACAACAGCAGACAAGGTTTTTGAAAGCACCAGCCTGGCTTCTCTCTCACTCAAGTCAATGGCAAAGCTCCTCTGATGGTGATGGGAGCAGAGTCAGACCAGCCCCACAAGCTCTTGAAAACTCCCTCTAAGCAACAGTTACCAGTAGCTCCTTTGTGGCACTTGTTGGCTGTAGCTTCCCAAAGCTGGGGAACAGCAACAGTCTGTCCAGCAATAGTCTGGCATAGTCCATCCAGCCTCTGCTCCCAGTCTCTCATGCCAGCTCCTAACTTGTAGGTTCAGTCCTGGGCTAGGGGATATGTTTTTTAGGCTCTGGTAGCAAATGTTTCAGTTCCAATGACAGTAAGTGAAACAGGATGTGGAAACATACAAGGTAGCTACTAGACGCGGCATTGCACATATTCCCAGAGACAGTGAATACCCCCTCTTCTTAATACCACAGGGCAGCTAGGCATCTGGAGGATCCAAAGGCCATAGACAACAGCCCGTGTGGCCCTCAGAACAGTCCCAGCACATCAGGCTGCTTTCACTTCCCCCACATCCTCCCCTGCAGCTTCCATGCTGCTCCGGGTATGAAACTCCCTGCCCCCATCCCTCTTTGTGCAGATGAAGCTTCCTGCTCCTTCTGTACTGCCCATTCTCCCAGCCCTGCCTCCTTGCAAAGGTATCTACTGGAAGGATACTGCTACATTGTGGGACAGCCTCAAGTTGGTGGAGATGGCCGATAGATTGGGGCAAAAGCTGGAGAGAGAGAGAGAGGACAAAGAAAAAGTCAAGTAGGTAATAATCCCCCATTCCCAGAGCCAAGGAATGGGCAGAAGTGATTGTATTGTACAGAACAGGGATCACTGGACAAACTGTTTCCTCTTCTCTTCATAATGGGCTTCAATCCTGACCCACAGTCCCCTGCTATTCCAGTCCCAGCCTCCCAACATACACAGCTTTGCCAGTGCCCCTCTTCCCTGACCTGCACCCCCTCCTTCATCCTCCTAGTTGTGCACTGGCTTTGTAATGTAAACCAACAGCTACTGATCAAACAGTGGAAGCCTGGTCCCTAAATACCCAATCCTGGACTTAGCCATCAAAGTAATTTCATTTGTGACCTCTCCCAAAGCCGACACCTCTGAAGGTAACTACTCAGGCCCTTGAGGTCTGATATATATTGTAAAATTGATCATGTCCCCTCACTGACCTAGCTCTGCTGGCAGAATGCCTTCATCTAGACACAGCTTAGTTCCCATCCTTTGGAGAGGAACTAAACCAGAAGGAAAAACCCCTCCTGCTGCCATGCACTGTTTCCAGCTCTGGCAAAGCAGTGGTTGGCAGCAGCCCCACAATGTAGGGTCAGGCAGTTTGACTGTACAGCCCAGTCCTCTCCTACAAGGTTTCCTGGCATGCAGTTGCCACTGTGGCTAATATCAGCAGAGCAGGGACACACTCGGCTGCTTTCACCAGTGCTCTCATCATGCAAGGGGGTGACTCAGCAGAAGCCATGGAGAGGTGCCCAAGTCACACAGCTGCCAACTCAACTGCTGGGCTGCATCCAGGCTGGCATTTTGCTGGCAGCTGTGTGTTGACTGGGAGCCTGCAATGTTTGGGGAGGTGTTTTGACTGTAAAAGGCTCAGCTCCGCCAACGTCCATTAATGTACATGTGGATGCCAGCACATAGGTGGTGACAGAGACTACTCCCATCACCAAAACCTTGTGGCACAGGCCAGATCAAGGGAAACTGAAATGGCCATGAATACAGAGGTCAAGACTCTGGGTTTTTTTGATGTCCTTTGCTCCTGGTCACTCTGAACAGATACTCACAACTTCTCAGCCGTCACTCCGAGGATGATGAAGAGATACAGCAGCCACATCGCCTGTAATAACCCAACAGTGAATTAGCAATGGGTGCTAAGAGCTAAGAAGAGATCCCAAGGGCTTCTGGGCAATCTCCCCAAAACCAGGGCAGGGGAAGGGGGATGGTCATTACTGAGAGCCAAGAAACCACCATGGAAAGAGTTTCCTACCAAACTAGAAATCAAGTCAAGTGGTCTGGGCTGGATAAAGAGCCCTGCACCCCCACTCTCATTACCCCGCTCCCCTGAATCACCCTCTGCCACATCTGTATGACCTCAGCCCAACCTAGGTTACCCAGCTCACTCCATCCCTGGCAGCGTCCTTCTCCTGGGGCTCCGTGTAATGCATCATGGCTTGTCCTCACTTTCCTGCTGCCTTCCAAGTAGCTTTCTCCCTCCAGATCTCCCTGAACAAGCATTCATCACTCCCACTCCCTTGGGCTTTCCCCATTTGACCTCCCACCAAGAGCATCCCACAGGGTGACAATCCCATCCCCCCAGTCCTCACATAGAGCGTCACGGCCAGTGGTAGAAGTGTTGAGGGGAAGACACAGAAGACCCCATCCAGGTAGTCGAGGAAGCCACCATCAATTTGGCAGTCAGGGTTGGTGCGGATGAAGGAGCACCACTGCGAGCTGTTCTGCTTCCGCACCTCCCAGCACTAAATGACAGGCAATAGGTTAGAGAGAGCTGGCTCTAGGCACCAACACAAGGAAGGCCAGGCAGGCATAATCACTCTTTGGCAATCTGAATTGGAAATCAAATGGCTAAAGGAGACTCACTGCTGAGTGGCACATGCTGAGCCAAGGGTTGCCCAGTCTCAGGGTTATCATTAGAAGGCAGTGGGGCTTAGTGAGCAAAGCACTAGACAGAGACTTGAAAGACCTGGGTTCTCTTCCCAACTTCACCATGGACCTGCTGAGCAGCCTTGAGCAAGTCACTTCACTGCCCTGTGCAAGTCACTTCACTGCCCTGTGCCTCAGGTTTTCCACCTGTAACATGGGGATAATGACAGTGACCCAACATGTGATACATAAGAGCTAGGTATTGTTTGTGTTACAATAGCAACTACAGGCCCCAAACCAAAGTGGAGCCCTACTACGCCAGCCACAGAACCAAAAAAAGAGAAGAGAATCAGCCCTGCCTCAAAGACCCTATAACTTAAACAGACAAGGGGAAAGCAGAGAGAGGAATGATGGTCCATCATCCAGGGTCTGCTCCTTTGTAGCATGCCTGAGGGGTCTCATTCCTTCAGGCAGCACAGACTCAGGGGCTGGAGTTGGACCTCAGGGTGCTGTTGCCAGCCAGGTCTTTGGCAGTTCCCCCTGCAGTGTCCCTTGTCTACACCTGGAGGTTCACAGCAAGGCTCCTCCACCTCCCACCCAGACTTCTGAACCAGCCATGAGCCATAACTACACAGAGGCATGAATACCACAGCTCAGCAGGGCATACTGACCAAAGCCCTACCAGGACAAAGTTTGATGGGACCCAAAGTATTCCCGCCTCAAGCTGCTCTCCTGGGTATCAACATACATTCCTCCTTCCCCTACACCTCAGATGGGCCTTGCAATCTTGCCCAACCTCTTTGTCAGCTTCCTGATGACATAAGGTGAGGAGGCAATGCTGTGTATTTGGGTTGTGCTCATCAACATGGCATCTGACCTTTACAGTGGTGGCAGCAGGTATACACATTTGAGGACCTTAAAATGGGACGCCAGTTGCAATGGCCAAATGCGGACCAGTAATCCTCCAGCAAAGCTGCTGTGCCAGAGGCAGTACCTAATGTCCTTGGAATATTCATCCATATTCTCCAACAAAGCAAGAACTATTCTGGACTAATAATGATTTAATTCAAAAACACTTCCTCTGCTTTGAAGCATGTTAATTACTCCAGGATGGATCTCCTCCAAAATAACTATTCTGTTAATTAACCCCCCACGCAGAGAAGCCCCAGGCTCTCTCAGTTAGTATGGACACAGCACTTACTCAGTGTAATCAAAGCACAACTGCCCTACAGCAGTCTGGCAGCTAGACACAATAGCACAGAGATAAGGGCTGTATACATGACAAGGCATTCACCTTGCAGCCTAGTTATTCCCTATTTCAATAAACTTATTAAACACCTCAGTGCTGATACCATTTCAGAATCACTCAGGAGATGTAATCAATGGTCCACTGAGCTGGGCACACCCAACACTTCCTGAGTTGCTGTGCTTCTGAAGGGTTGTTGTACAATGTTGTCTCTGCATATCGTTGGCCAGCCCATCATGCGTGTTTTGTTTGATCTAGGGGTGTACTTGATAGCTGTGTTGGTCTGAGACAGAAAGACAGACAAAAACTAGAATGCTTGGTTCCAAAATGATATATTTTTTGTCTAATAAAAGGTATCATTTTGGAACCAAGAGTTCTAGTTTTTGTCTGTCTTTTTGTTTGATCCAGTATCTTAGAGGCTTGCTGCTGTCCTGAAAAGTCATAGTTGAAATAAAGATTCCTTGAAATCAGTGCACTGAAAACAAGGTTTCCAGAACAGGGTCCACATGATGACCTTGTCTCCACTGGGAAATGGTTGTGAGCAGCAGAGTTCAGAATGACAAACACAATACCAGAAGCTCTTAGACTGCTCTCTTTATCAGCAAATCTCAAAGTGCTTTTTCGAAGGAGGAATGGGTATCTAAGAACTGGGCAGGAAATGATTAACTTGTCCTGTTTACAGGTATCAAAAGAGCAACATGTTCAAGCCAAAGGAGCAAGAACCAAAAAAGCTTCTAGATACCAACAATTAAATTAAAAAAAAAAAAAAAAAAAAATCAGATTTGGATCAAATCAAAATATTTTGCTTGGGAAATTTTTAGAGGCTCCCCTTGGATTTTGCCCATTTTTTCTTTTTTAAAATCCTTTAGTCTACCTCAGCAAACATTTCTAAATGAAGAATGCTTTTGTCTCGGGGAAGAGGAGAAATTCAAGCTTTAAAAACAGATTTTTTTGACAACTCCAAAATATTTATCCCTTTCTCCCACCAAAGTTTTCAAGTCACAAGGTTCAGTGTTGTGAACACTTTCAGTTTTGACAAATGAATAGTTTTCAGTGACAAACTGAATCAAAGGATTTTCAGCCAGGTTAATCAATGTTCCCATCATACACAGGGAAAAATCAAGACATAAAGAGGCAAAATGATTTGTCGAGGTTCCCTAACAGGCAAGGTCAGGAAAAGAATACAGTTTGCCTAAGTCCCATTCTACCTAGCCATCCTGTAGCTAGGCTATATGGGATTTGAATCTGTGGCTCTCAGGTTTCAACTTGAAGGTTTGACCTTTAAGCCATATAACATCACAAATCACAAGGAGTTGTACTGAGGTCTCATAGCAGAGAGGCAGCTTTGTGTAATCAGCCCTGACCAGTGCTGGAAAATTGACAGAAGTTGAACCCACTGGGTAGCCCAGTAAGGGAATTGCAAGGAAAAAAATCCTCAAACTCCCCAAGGAAATTCCTATCTATTGTTGGATCCTGGCATCATTTCCAATTCCCTTCTCCAACATAAGGCCAGAAGGAAGCACTCACTGCTCAGTGCATCAGGTTTCGGCTGGAGTTCATGAAAAGCTGGCTGGGGTGAAATGATGAATGATTTCCAGGCCTGTGCACAGTGAGCAAGTCGAGAGGTTCAGAGCATGTCTTCTGCCACAGTTCGGCATAGAAAGATGTCACATCTCACTAACAGGGGGCGGGGTGGGTGCAGCTAGAATGGGCTGTGGGCTTTTCAATGGCATATAAGCATTCACTGCTAACCTAGACAAGGAGAAACTCATCACCTCAGCCTGATTGCAATCTGACTTCCTTCCTGCCACTTCAACTCTCTCAAAGTTACTACAGAGGTTACCACTGAAACCACGTGCTCTGCTCCCTCCCAGTGTGGAATCTCAACTTTACAGCCAATTTTCAGTTACATACTTAATGTTTAAACCAGACCTTGTCGTCCCCATTCAGTGTCCCCAGAGACGCTCGTTATACCCGCACACGTGGGGGAAGAATCACGAGAGTTATGCTGGTGAGGTAAACTAGTGGGCTGGGCGCTACACCCAATGCCTTGTGCTCCTCCAGCATTGCCCATCCCAGCAGGTCGCAGCTGCCTTCAGTGCAACACAGGCATGAGAAGTTACAAGAACCACATTAGTAGTGTCATGTGGTTATATTAGTGAGCTGTATCTGGGGAACCCTTCTCAAACTGGATCTTCTACTCCTCCCCTGGGTCTCAATTCAGGACCGCACATTTCAAGCCCCTCGGAGTAAACATGCGGCTTTCAGAGCACTCTGACAAGCTCTAAACAGAAAGCTCTGCTTAGCCTTAACCACTGCCTTGCTGCAAGGAAGACACTTCACCTCCAGTACCAGCAGTTTCAAAGCAACTTCCTGCCCAGCAAAACAGCAATCAAACAGAAGAGACAGCAGCGAACAAGTCTGTTGAGCAAGCAGAAAATACCTGTGGGATCAGGAAATTTTTCCCCAGTTGCTAACCCTAGGGAAAAAAAAAGTTAGGCCGAGAGAGGGGCTCTAGGCGCAGGGCCTGTCCTTCCAGGCCCACCTGGGAATCTGTAAGCCCTGGCTCAGAGGTCCATTGCACTGTTAATGCCCCAGCCGTGGCATGCTGTGGGGAAGCTGCGGCCTTGCTCCGAGCAGCCTGTTTCAAGACATTTCCACTCAGTGCACCATTCAGTGGTGTTGTTATTACAGCACTCAACCAGCCGATGGGATTCCTGGCAGCGGCTCCCTCCATCTGCCAGCCTTATGAAATCAGCCAGGTGAATCAGCAGGGAGGGGCTGGTGCCATAGCCTGGAGGAGAGTGGGTCCAGCAGGACCCGTATGGATCAAGAACCTGGAAAAAGCTACTCCTTTGGTCCAGGCCTCTCCCTGGGTGGCGGGAGCATGGGCAGCAGGTAGGACCACCCCACTTAGATGTCAAAGGAGGGACATAACGCTCTGTGCTTGCCATGGGTCTGGGTCCTGGGCTCACTTCCTTTGCTAACACTGATGTCATACATGTAACATGCAGCCAGTGTCCCCATGGGCGTTCCCACGGCAACCCCTGGGAGGGGCAGGCAAAATACAACCTGCTGGATGGGTCTTGGGGCTGCAAAGTCTCTCGGTCTGTTCTGTGTAGTCTCGGCTGTCCTTTCCAGCTCGAGACCCCGCTGTGCTTTAAAAAGCAGGGCAAGTCTTACTGGTGGTGGTGGTAGCGCTCAACAGCACCAGCAAGGGGCCGATTCTGCCTTGGCGGAGGAGAGAGATCAAACGTCTGTTCCACACGCCCTGGAGAGTCTCCTCAGCGGACACTATGGCATGACACCCGCTCACCCCAGCCTGAGCGCCTTAAAATGCTATGGACGACCCTCCGTTGGGCGCTGTCCATCGTGCCGTTTCTGTACCCGGCCACCCCGGCTACTTACATCCACAGAGTCGGCCCGGATGCCGCGGTGCTCTCTGCCGATGCCCAGCGGGAGCGGAGCCAGGCTCGCGGCCCCCGAGGCCCGAGCTTCCCCGCGCAGCACCCCCAGGGCGCCCCGCACCCACAGGGCCCCCGC